ATTTCTACCTGAAGAGATTTTAACCCTAAGATCGTTGATATCTCATGCAGTCATAATGTGCTTAAGACCTGATGTTACAAATGTGGATATCTAGATAGATGATTGTTTGATACCGTAGCTGTTCGATCACCTCCTTCGAGCTGCCGTATGCCCTCATCTTACCAGATAATCAACAAAAATTAATCGAAAGTTCTTGTTTCTCATCTTTTCTCAAGTTCTGTATATAATACTTATCATTTCTACTTGACTCATCTTGGATTACTTCGAAGTTAGACTGCGTAAATTTCTGTACGTTCTCATACTATGTATAGCTTATCCCTTTGCAGTTCAACTCAACAGGGTCCACCATGGGTCAGCAGAGAGAGAGGGTCAAATTTGTGGCTTCAAAATGGCCACGAATTGTTGGGATACCTGTGGCTGTGATGGTTTTGCTCTACTTCTTCCCTATCCTAATCCCAGCACTGCTTGCCGGTGGAGTCGTGGCTGCTTTTCTCTACAAAAACAAGCCATGCGACCCTGAAGATGTAAGTGCTTAAGGTGGTGAGGTGTGTGGGAAGAAAACAAGAGATATTATTTCAGGTGCGTAAATTTTTCGAAGGGTTCCGTATTGGCGGACATCGCGGTGCTCCCACATCGTTTCCCGAGAATGGCATGGCCGGATTCAATCAGGTATGCGTTAGAGCTTTCCTTATAAGTTCTTTATGAATTTCTCCTACTCTACAGGCAAAAGTAGATGGGGCTGATCTGATCGAATTCGATGTGGCGCTGACGAAAGACGGTGAAGCCGTGCTCCTACATGACGACGACCTGGATCGAACCACCAACCTCACTGGTCCGATACGTGATAAGACTCTGGCTCAGCTTGCCCGTGCTAATATTAGTGCCCACTTCACCAGATCAACGTACCATTGCTTTTTTGCTTGCTGTCAACGCGGTGACAGGTTCGCGTCTCAGTGATCTAACGAGAGTAATTTAGAAAAGGAGACCTGCCGCCGGTAAAGGAGGAAGGTATTCCGAAGCTGGAGACGGTTGTAAAATGGGCAGTGGAGAACAAAATGAGGATGCTCTTTGATGTAAAGGATTCAGATCCAGAGGTAGTAAGATCTTGTAATGGATTAAGAAAGGTTATATACATTATAAGTGCTAACCAAAAATTTGCAGCCATTTTCCAAAAACTGCTTTTTTTGCTTATGAAGAACATGAGCCTCAAGCTTACAATTATGCGCAGCAAAACAATTTTATACAAAATCTTTGTAAATTCATACCCATATAAGACGTCAGAAGATTTGGGAAAATTGCGGGAAAAACTGGTCAAAACTTGCAGCCTAGTCTACCACACTGATTCGATAAGATGATGAATAGGCTACATAGTAGTCTGTATGTGGGAATGCTGACCCCTTGAATTGCATGACACGCTGTGAACCTTTCTCGGACTTCAGTAGAGGGCGACTTCAGTAGAGAGCAGCGCTACACGAGAATTGATCTAAATGAGTCTAGCTCTGGAAATCAGACGGAAGAGGCATTTTGTTATTAGCAAGTATTTCGCAAATTCGAAATCCTGTGTAAAACCAATGCGAACGGAGCCTTAACGCGATACAGTAGTCATGGCAAAAACATATCCGTCTTGTATCGAATTCTACCATCACAACCGGGTCCTCCGAGCACTTAGCAGCTAAATGCAGCGTCCCCTCAGACGGGGTGTACCTAGATCTCAGTGCATTGTGATAGCAGGCCTCCAGACTAAGCGAACAATGAAGTCCGCAGCGAAAACGCGCTTGGGAGGCCTAAAACTCGTCTTGAAAATCTTCCGGACCCTGCCCCTTTCTACGCTCCGCCCACTGCTTAACTGAACACTCAAGACTAAGGGCTCCTTCATACTACGCCGCAGGCCTTGCGGCAACTTGCCTAGTATGAAGGAAGCCTTAGGTTTGGGTGTTCAGTTACGAGGCGGGTCCTGGAAGGAGCGGGGTCCGGAATACTTTCGAGACGAGTTTTAGGCCTCCCAAGCACGTTTTCGCTGCGGACTTCACTGTTCGCT